TCTTTGTTTTTTTTGTAATTATTAACTAACAGAAAAAGATAGATCAGGAACAGGTACGTCTATACTATCTAGCTAAAAAAATTGTTTTTCTCCCGCAGAGACTGTCCAGTTTGTCCAATATATATAGCAGTGGGGAATCACTGGCATAGATCAAATTACTGGATGTGCAGTCAAATGACCTTTTGATTTGGTAGCTTATGTTTTTGGCTTCAGTGATGAATTTGCTTGTATAGATATGTGGGCAGTGTTGGCATTGCGTTTGGTTGCAGGGTTGGGTTTCTGGTTATGATGTGGTCATGTGGCATGGTTACCGGAGAGAATTTGTTTCAGGTTGTCTGTAAGCGAGAATAGGCTTTTCTCCCAAGGTTTCGGAAAGTGAGGGATCATTTTCCAAGATGGGTTGTAGACTGTGTATAATGCACTGGAGGGGTCTGCCTATAATCCACAACTCAGACTTCTCCAGTGAATTATGCAGAAAAATTTATAGTCTCTTAATTCATTGCACAGTAACTGCATGCATCATTCTGGGTTACTATTTCATCCAGCATTTCCTAAATTTTAGGGTATATCCACAAAGGAGTGCAGAACAAAAAGAGCTAGGTAAGGGGGCATGGACAGGTGTCACAGTTATTTTCAAGAAGCTTAGCTTTCACTTTTTAAAAAATTAATCTCTAGCTGTTATGACTAGGTGAAAACCCAAGAAACTCTTTCAAAATGTGACCCAAGTGCAAAGGATACAGCGATGTCTGCCTGAGTTTGCACAGAACTCAAAACAATTGTTCTGAGATGTCCACCGCCCCCATTCTTTTCAGTGAGTGCTAAATCAGATGCCAATGATGATACTTATAGGCCAACTTTGTTAAATTCACTACCCATGAAAACATGTAAGAAAGGAGAAACAGTATAATATGAAGATCTAAAGAATCTAATCTGAGTGACCATTCTTATGGAGGCCTATAACATGGGAAGGTTAAACAAGGTGTCATTACTGTTTTCATTTTCCTACATTGGGGGCTCAGCTTTCAAATGTTTGGGAAATGTTAATATAATCCCATACCAAAAAAATACATGAAGAGAATTTAGATAAGCATGCTCACCTTTAGCTCTGACTTTGTGTGTATTCTTTAGGATATGCTGCTTGGTTGTATGATCACATAGAATTTCTCAAATATAATAAAACAGATTTTTAAAATATCCTTTAGCCTCATGTTACAGCCAAGATCTGCTCCATTCGTTTACACATGCACACATTGTGGCTTTTTGTTACAGTAAATCAGAAACTGCTGGACTAAAGTAGCATAACAGTCTCCCTTAAAATCTACAAATAAAATCTACAAATTTTTAAAAATCTACAAGTGAAATAAACCTCAAGGCTATAATATTGTTCCTAATTTATTTTCTTGTCTCTTAATTGTCCTCTTACACTGCTCTACAGCCAAAATGCTTCTGAAATAAATGTAGTCAAACTTTACTAACTCTGGGTCACTGAGAACGAAAATGATGCTTAAAATTGTTGATTGGCTCTAGTTTTCAAGATATGCTATTGGGTCAGTATATACGACCCTTGACTTGCGAATGGCGGAGGATAAGTGAGTTATAAAGGGAAGGGATCTCAATTTAAACCAGAAATGACTAAAATACATCTTTGACTGGATCTATGAATAAATCTATGACTAGGTTTGGACAGTACTTGCTTTTTAGGCAAAACAATGAATGATGCAATCTGAAGCTGGTATTGCGTCATACATGATATGAATTGCATCGTGTTATTCCTAGAAGTCATGGATGATGCAATCATAACGAAGCTTACATCGCTCTGCTGAACAAATTGCCCTATATCAGCTCTAGAAATCATACAGTGTCGTGCTCTCTTATTTGTCAGTGTTTGATTTTGCAAAGGGACACATTTCTGTTTAGCCAAAGTGAGCAGAGTTGCCTCGTACTTGTGTCATGTTTGTGGTGAAGTGACTTTTGCATCACAAAAGCACAGTATAACCACTATGGTTAAGAAAGCCTATCACCTTTATTTTGGCTGCAAAATTGGAGATCAGGACAAGAGGTGGGCCCCACACATATGCTGCAACACCTGTGCAACAAATCTTCTCCAGTGGTTGAACAGGAAAAGGAAATCTATGCCTTTTGCAGTGCCAATGATTTGAGAGAGCCAACAGATCATACCAGCAATTGTTACTTCTGCATGGTGCCTCCAGTTGGGAAAGGTGTGTCAAAGAAGAAAAAGTGGACTGTGCATTATCCAAACATTCCATCAGCTATACGCCCAGTACCCCACGGAGAAGGACTGCCGGTTCCTGATGCACCAGAAGCATTCTCACTTGAGTCAGACGAGGAAGAGGAAGAGGATGAAACTTCTGGTCCTGAACCATCAATGTCACAGGACCCACATTTTCTCCCATCCTCCTCCTTTGAACCACACCTCATAACACAAGGTGAACTGAATGACTTTGTCAGGGATTTGGAACTACCCAAGAGTAAGGCAGAGCTGTTGGGCTCCAGACTACAGCAGTGGAATCTCCTGGCAGGTGATGTTAGGGTTTCCATGTTCCGTGACCGTCAAAAGGATCTTGTCCCATTCTTCTTCATGGAAGATGATCTTGTAGCCTGCAACAACATCGATGGTGTGATGGCAGCCC